AGATGACCAAACTGAGACTGTTGTACTTCAGACACATCATGAGAATAGGGGACTCTTTGGAAAAAAAACAATGCTGGGAAAGGTAGAGGGAAGTAGGAAGAGGGGGAGGCCATATGCTATATGGATGGATTCTATTAAGGAGGTCATGGGTATTAAGGGGTTGCAGGATTTAAGTAGAGCAGTGGAGGACAGAGGGTCTGGGAGATGTCTCATCCATAGGGTGGCCATGAGTCAAGATCGACTGGAGGGCAGTTAACAACAAAGAAGAAATTAATGTTGAAAATGTTTTGCTCAAAGGGGAGAAAGGAAGGTTTACAAATACAGGCCACAGCAGAAATGCCCACATTTTAGGTCGTCATGTCATCTTTGTTTTAACAACAAATCATTTGGTTTGGCATTCTCTTGCCATATTGTACTCTTCAGTAGTACTATTTATTTGTCTTACCAGGAAAGATACACACACACACACACACACACACACACATACAATTTTAGACCAAAAGATCAGCACAAAAAATACAGTGAGCCCTTGGTATCTACTGGGGTTTGGTTCCAGGACCCCCCCGTGGGCAACAAAATCTGTGGATGTTCAAGTTCCATTAAATACAATGGAAAGTAAAATGGTGTCCTTTCTATAAAATGACAAAATCAAGATTTGCTTTTTGGAATATATATATATATATATATATATATATATATATATATTCAAGCTGTGGATACTTGAATCTGTGGATAATATGTTGATATAGAGGGCCAACTGTACCATTAAATCACTCTTCCCCCTCTTGTGTGTAGGGCATTATGAACTCTTTTGTGGGACTTGAAGAGCTATTGTTATAGGTCACTTGACTGGGCTGGTGAAGCTTTAACTATATCTTTGTGTTATTCAGAAAAGCAACTTCAGAAGTACTTCAGAAAAGTAACAAAAGATACAAAATATGATGGTAGTACAAGTATGTTGAGATTCAGGTTGTTAGAGTGGTAAAATGAGGGAGACCTAGATTTGAATACCTGTTTGTGCTAAAAAAAAAAAAAAAAAGCTCAGAAAACTTTGCCTACTTTGAATTACATCACAAGGGTGATGTGAAAATAAAGATGGATAGTCACCTTGAACTATGTGAGGAAATATGAGAAACAACTATTTTAAATAATAAAATATGTGTGAGTAATAATGACATTATTATGGAGCAGCAAAGGCATGCTTTGTAAAACTGGACAGTGCAATAGATAGAGAGCTGCACCTGAACCAATGTTCAAATCTCAGTCCTGTCATCCATTTGCCTTTGCAAGCATACACTCATCCCTGAACCTCACTTTGTTGATGATGCTGCAAACTTTTGAAGCTCCACTGGCTTGCAACATATACAATGTGCATCTTGGTTAGCCCAACGGTATCACTGTTTTGTGGGATTTGTAGATTTTGGATGATACTGTACATTGCTATGTGGCCAACATGGCTACCCCTGGATTTGTTATTGTTGTTAACTGCTCTTGAGTTGACATTGACTCATGATGACCCTGTGGATGAGACATCTTCAAGACTCCCTGAGCTCTCCTGCTCTGCTCAGATTCTGCAGGCCTGTGTCCTTCTTGATTGAATCTAACCATCTAGCATATAATTAATAATTAATAATAATAATTTATTTATTTATATCCTGCCCCTCTGCAGAGCAATCGGGGCGGCTTACAATATTAAAAATTTCCATACAGACATGTTAATACAATGTAAACAGAACCTAAAAATCCCGAAACCCACCCGCCCCTTAAAAAGTAAGGGTTCTTCTTTTTAGTCTAGGCCCGATGGAGATGGGCCTGTATCTCTCCCCCAGATGACATCGGATGGAGGGGAGGGAGGGCTCTTCTTCTTAGTCTAGGCCCGGTGGAGCTGGGTCTTCCTCTCTTCCTACTGCCCTCCACTTATCCTAACACCATTGCCTTTTCTAATGAAAAGGCAATTTCATTGCTTTTTCCTCATGATGTTGCCAAAGTATGATAGCCTCAATTTAGTCATCTTGGCTCCCAGGGATAGTTTAGTCTAGATCTCTTCTAGAACTCATTTGTCGTCTTGGCTGCCCATGTTATCCTCAGCACTCTTCTCCAGCAACATGTTTCAAATGAGTTTTCTTTCTATCAGCTTTCTTTACTGACCAGCTCTCGCATCCATACATAGTGATATGATATCTTGGATGATCCTCACTTCAGTGTTCAGAGTTATGTCTTTACACTTTAAGATCTTGTCCGGTTCTTTCACGGCTGCTCTTCCCAATCCTAGTCTTCTTATTCCTTGATTGCAGTCGCCTTTCCGATCAATATTTGATCCAAGGTATGAGAACTTTAGGATTATTTCAATACTCTCATTATTTAGGCTGAATTCTTGTAGATCTTCTGTGGTATTATTTTTGTTCAACAGTAAACCTACCTTGGCACTTTCCTCCTTGACCTTCTCCAGCAATTGTTCCAGGTCTTTGTCATTTTCTGGTAGTAGCACTGCCTTCTCTATAAAATGGGAACATAAGAGAGCCAACAAGGCATATTAGTTTGAGTGTTGGACTACCATGTTTGTCCATTTTCAGTGGACAATGTGGGGCAGTCTGCAGTGGGACCCAGGGCAGATGTTGTTCCCCAAACCCACCCAAGTTGCCCACCAGGTCTCCAGGTTGAATTAGTTATGAGACTCTTAGGAAGGATATACAACCAGCATGTCTTAGTGGTTTGAGTGTTAGACTATGACTCTAGAGGCCAGGGTTAGATTCCTGGCTTGGACATGAAACCCGCTGAGTGACCTTGGGCAAGTCTCAGGCTCAGGGGAAGGACACAGCAAACTTCTTCTGAAGAAATCTTGCCAAGAAAACCACAAGGTAGGTTCACATTAGGGTCACCATAAGTCAGAAACAACTTGAAAACACACAACAGGTTTAGCAAAGCGGAGGGAGGTGGGAAAGGTCAAGTCAGAAATGGTACATGATCACCTAGCCCCTCTCCTAAGCTTGAGGAGAAATGCAGTGAGGAGGAAGAAAGAAAAGAAGAGAGAATGGTGTGGATCCTGCAGAGGCAGGGTGACCAAATCTCCTAACTGCAAAAGAGGACAGAGAACCACAAAATGCAGGAACTTCAAGAAAAATGTAGGCTATAACCAAATAAAAGCTGAAACACTAACATAAGTATAAATTCATGCTTCTTCATTATGCTCAAAATACTAGACATTTTGGAATCCCTCTGGACAGAAGGTTGAAATATAGGTCATGCCCTGGAAAAGGAGGATGTTTGATCACCCTGCACAGAGGCCAAGCGTGTGTGCAACTGTTGTATCCAGCCAGATGTGTGTATGTATGTGTATGCAGGAAGGCATATATATGTGGGTATGCATGTATATATGTGTGGGTGCATGTATATATGTGTGTATGCAGTGGGACCCAGGGCAGATATGTATACATGTGTATGTACATATGTGCCTGTGTGTGTATACACACACACATGTGTATATGTCTATATAGGCATGTGTATATGAGTGTGTATACGTGTATATATGTGCATATACATGCATGTGTATATACATGTATGTGTGCATATATGTGTATGTGTGTATACATACAGTATATATATGCGTGTGTGTGTGCATGTGCATGTGTGCTCTCATGCAAGCAAAATTCTGCTCAAAATTTTGCAACCTAGACTCCAACCATACATAGAGAAATCCCAGAAGTCCAAGGGGGGGGGTTCAGGAAAGGAAGAGGCTCTAGGGACCACATTGCAAACATAAAATGGCTAATGGAGCACAACAGGGAATTGCAAAAGAAAATCAGCATGTGCTTTATAGACTATAGCAAAGCCTTTGACTGCACATAGATCATGAAATGCTATGGAATGCCCTTAAAGACATGGGAGTGCCAACACATCTGATAGTCCTAATGAGGAATTTGTACTCAGGACAAGACGCTACTATCAGAACAGAACATGGAGAAACAGAATGGTTCCCAATTTGCAAAGAAGTCAGACAAGGCTGCATCCTTTCACCCTATCTGTTCAACTTGTATGCAGAACATACAAGAAAAGCAGGCTTCGACACTGAAGAAGGAGGAGTGAAAATAGGTGGAAGGAATATCAACAATCTAACATATGCAGATGACACCATAATACTAGCAGAAAACCTCACAGACCTGGCATACCTATTAAGGAAGATTAAAGAGGAAAGTGCAAAGGCAGGCTTAATGCTGAACATAAAGAAAACAAAAATAATGACCACTGAGGACCTTCAAAAGTTCATCTTAGACAATGAAGAAATAGAAATAGTAAAAGAATTCCCATACCTGGGATCAAACATTGATAGAAACAGGGACTGCAATCAGGAAATCAGAAGAAGACTAAGAATGGGGAGGGTGGCTATGAAAGAACTAGAAAAGATTCTAAAATGCAAAGATATACAACTCAGCACAAAAGGTAGAATCATACAAGCCATCGTATTCCCTATAACCATGTATGGATGTGAGAGCAGGACAGTTAAGAAAGTTGATAGGAAGAAAATCGATGCATTTGAGATATGGTGCTGGAGAAAAGTGCTGAAGATATCATGGACAGCCAAAAGGACAAACAAATGGGTCCTAGAGCAGATCAAGCCAGAAACCTCCCTGGAAGCCAAGCTGACCAAATTGAGGCTGTCGTACTTTGGACATAACATAAGAAGAGAGGACTTTTTAGAAAAAAACAATAATGCTGGGAAAAGGGAGGGAAGTAGGAAGAGAGGAGGGTCACATGCTAGATAGATGGAATCTAGTAATGAGGTCATGGGTATGGGTTTGCAGGATTTAAGCAGAGCAATGGAGGACAGAGGATCTTGGAGATGTCTCATTCATAGGACTGCCATGAGTTGAGATTGACTCAAGGGCAGTTAGCAACAAATACATATATATTTATGTGTATGTATGTGTGTACATGTGTGTATATAGATATATGTGTGCATGTGTATATGAGTTTGGATACATACACTAAAAGTGCATATATATATATATACACACACACACACACACACACACACACATATATATATATATATATATAGTATGTGTGTATATGTACCTATGTATATTCTGTATAATCATTTGTATGCACTGTACATGAGCGCAATGTGCCTGTGTATGTGTATATAGATATGTGTATGTTTATATAGATACGTGTATATGAGCGTGTATACATACAGTATGTGTGTGTGTGTATATATATATATATGTGCGTGTGTATATTTTTGGTGTGTAGTGTGTATGTGTGCCTGTGTATGAGTGTGTATACAGTATACAGTATATGTGTGTATATGTATGTGTATACATATATATATATGTGTGTGTGTGTGTGTGTATACATATATATTTGTGTGTACTGTATGTATGTGTATATGCGTGTATATAGATATTTGTGTGTACTCTCTCTCTCTATATATCTATATCTATATATCTATATATCTATATATCTATATATCTATATCTATATCGATATAGATATAGATATATGTGAGTGTGTGAGGGGTCATCCCGGCCTTGGGGACAGTTAACGGACCCTAGGGAAACCTTTTCCCCGCTCTCTCAGCAGCGGAGCCCCGCTTGTGGGTCAGAGGCTGTTCCCTCACAGGGGCCTTCTCAGCCCAACCTCGACGACGACCCCTCCCGCCTCTGGCTCCTCCCACTCCCTCCGCCGGCCCTGCCGTGACGCCTCTATTGTCGGCGCAGGCGCAGTCGCAGCCGGCGACTGTTGTATCCGGCCGGCGCCTTTTTTTCCTCCTCCCTCCCCTCCTTCCCCGTAGAAACGGCCGTTGCTGCCGC